AGCATTTTATTTATAAAAACCACTGAGTTTTGGATGAGAACAGAAGTTTGTGGTCTCGGCCAGGATTGCTCCCATGTTTTTACAACTGTGATAGTATAGTTCATTCAGGGTGAGGAAGGTCATGAAAACCAGCAGCTTCAGTACTCCTGTGGAAGGGGGTTATTTGATTTGGAATGTTGTCAAGTAAAAGTGATTATCTTGGTGGCAAGTGGAAATAGGGAGAGCCAGCAACTCTGCTAGCCTAAGATTACAGTCCTGTTTGGGACAAACAGTGAAGAAGTAGACTAGACAAGGCTTGAACAGAGAGGTCTGAGAAGTGAGACAGCTACAGAGAGCCTGATAAGCTCTCCAGATATCCTGGGTTGACCATGCTTTGTACACACCAGGAATCAGTATGAGCCCATGACATCCATACATCTCTGGGCACACATCAAAGGATGTGTGTGAAAGCCCAGCAGAAAGTAAAAACTATAGCAGACTTGAAGGCCTAAAGTGTAAGTGTAATCCCCATCCCAACCACAGATCCATCAGCAGAGAACAAAATGGCTCAAAATGATCAAACACCACCTCTGACCAATCAGTAAGCTATGGAGATAGAGGAGTGACCCCTAGAATCTCGATTTCAAAATAAAAACAACACGGGGTGGCACACTGCAGGGGAGACGAGTTTCACAGATTTAGTCCAGGAAAGTTAGTGCAAAAAAAGAAAAAAGGAAAAAATTCTCCCAAACATCACAAACTTTAGTAATGGAAAAGTCAGAATCCAGAGTTGCTAACAGTATATTATTTTAAATGTTCAGTATTCAACAACAACAACAAAAATTAGAAGACTTGCAAAGAAACAAAGCATTACCTATAATCAGGAAAAAAATCAATCAGTAGAAACTGTCACTGAGTGATCCCAGATGTCGCATGTGGCACACAAAAACTTCAAAACAGCTATTATAGATATTTCAAAGAAATAAAGGGAACCATGTATAAAGAATTAAAGGAAAGTATGATGAGAATGACTCAATGAATGGAGAATTCAATAAATTATAAGCGAGAACAAAATAGAATTGAAAAGTGTAATAATTGAAATGAAAAATTAGGAAGGCCTCAACAGCAGATTCGAGATGACAGAAGAAAGAATTGGTGAGCTTGTAGATCAGTAAAAATTATTTTATATGAATAACAGAGAAAAAAGATGGAAGAACAATGAACTGAACAATGAACATCAAGTACATATGTAAGGATATACATCTATAGAGGGAAAGGAGTGAGGGAAAGGAGGAGAAAGTGTTAGAAAAAAGAAAGGCTCAAAACTTCCTGAATTTGATGATAAGCATTATTCCACAGAATCCCAGGTATGATAAACACGTCAGAGACAAACTGTTGGAAGACAAAGGCAAAAAGAAGAATCATGAAAGCAGCAAGAAAAATAAATGATTCATCACATCAAGGGAACAGGAATAGGATTTAGGTCTGACTTCTCACCAAAGGTAATGGAGGCCTGAAGGTAGTGGGATAACATATTCAAAATGTGGAAAGAAAAAACCTGTTAACCAAGGATTCTATATCTAGCAAAACTATTTTTAAAATATGAAGGCAAAATAAAGACGTTCCCACATAAAAAAGAGAATTTGTTGGCAGTAGACCTGCCTTAAAATACTAAAGGAAGTCTTTAAGGCTGAAAGAAAGTTTACCAGATGGTCACTCAAATCCATAAGAAGAAATGAAGAACATTGGAAATGGTAAATTTGAGGGTAAATACAACTCTATATTTTTTTATTCTTAGTTTTTACAAAAAACAAGTTTGTATAAAGCAATAACTATAACACTATATTCCTGAGGCTATATAATACATATATAATAATAATAATAACAGAAACGGGGGGGACTAGGAGATATATTGGAGCAAGTTTCTATATCTCCTGGTATTAAGTTAAAAATAAATTGTGAAGACTCATGTTGTGATGCCTAGAGCAACTATAAATAAAAAATGTGCATAGCGAAAAAAGTCAACAGAGGGATTAAAATGGCAGACTAAAAATAGTTTACACAAAAGAAGGTAGTAAAAGAGGAAGAAGTTTTAAAAAAGACATGAAACAAATAACAAATAGCAAAATGGCATACACAAATCCAACCATATCAATAATTATATTACATATGAATGGGCTGCCTATTCAAAAGTAGGGGTTGTCAGCCTGGATAAAAAGACAGGACCTAACTCTCTGCTGTCAATAAGAGACATACCTTAGATTGAAAGACACATATAGCTTGAAAGTGAAGAGATGCTAAAAGACAAATTATGCAAACTAACCATAGGAGAGCTGGAGTGACTATATTAATATTAGGTTAAATATACTTTAAGACAAGAAATATTACAAGAAATAGTAACATTTCATAAGGACAAAAAAATCAACATGAGAGGAAAATACAGCAATTATAAAGATATACCTAACAGCACCAAAATACATTAAGCAAAAACTGACAAGTAAAATGAGAAATAGACAATTCAGCAATAATAGTTATAGATTTCAACACCCTATTATCGATATTTGATAGAAGAACTAGTCAGAAAATTAGCAAGGAATTAGAAAGCTTAAACTGTTAACCAACTTAACATAGTTTATATTTATTGAATATTCCATGTAGAATATACATTATTTTCAAATGCACATGGAACAGTCTCTAAGAATATTTTGGGCCATAAAGTAGTCTCAGTTATTTTTAAAGATTGAAATTGTACAGGTTACGTTCTATGACTACAATAGAATTAGAGATCCATAACAGAAAGAAATCTGGGTTATCTCCAAATATTTGAAATTAAATAGCATACTTATAAATAACCCATAAGTTAAGAAATACTAAGGTAAATTTAAAAATAATTTTGACTAAATGAAAATGAAAGCACAATATATCAAAATTTATGGAATGTAGCTGAAGCAGAGCTTACGGGAAAATGTATAGCTTTTAAATTTCTAAGTGTGTACACACATTTTGAAGTATTGTGGGTGCAGTTTCAGACCACTGCAATATGGTGAGTTGTAATCTTTTTGCTGGTGGGGAGTCTTGCCTTCAATTTGTAAAAAATGCAATATCTGTGAAGCACAGTAAAGTGAAGCTCAATAAAAATTAGGTATCCACCTTAAGAAACTAGATAAAGAGAAAACTAAGCCCAAAGCAGGTATGAGGAAGGAAATAATGAAGATTAGAATGGAAAATAGTGAAATAGAAAACAGACTAACCATAGAGAAAAATCACTGAAACCAAAAATTGGAGAAGTCAACAAAATTGATAAACTTTTACCTAAGAGACCAAGAAAACAAAGAAGACATAAATCACCAAAATCGTGAATGACAGGACATCGCTACTCTATAGAAATTAAAAGGATTGTAAGGGAATGTCATGAATTACTTGATTCCAACAAATTAGACACAATTTCCTAAGACACGAACTATCAAGAGGAAATAGTATAGTGAAGAGACGTATAACAAAATGAATTAGTAGTTCAAAATCTTCATGTAAAGGCAAGCCCAGGCCCAGTGGCATCATTGGTGAATTCTATCAAATGTTTAAAGAAGTAATAAGACTCATACTTCACAGACTCTTTCAGAAAGCAGAGAAGAAGGAAACACCTCCCACATATTCTGTGGCGATAGTATTATCCTGATAAAGCCAGGCAAAGATAGCATAAGAAAACTGTTGACTGTATATCCCTTATGAACACAGACTCAAATGTCTTAAAATGTTAGCAAACTAAATTCATTTATATACCATGGCCAGTAGGGATTTATTCCAGGCATGCAAGGTTGGATTAATATGTAAAAATTAATGCAACATACCAGGGGCTGGCAGATGTTCTCTTAAAAGGCTAGGTGGTAAATATTTTAGGCTTTTGGACCATATAGTTTCTGTTGGAACTACTCTGCTGTTGTACTGCAAAAACAGCCATAGATAATATGTAAATAAACAGGTGTAGTGATGTTCCAGTAAAACTTTATTTACAAAAATAACTGGCCCACAGGTCATAGTTTGCTGGCCTCTATAATATACCATAAGATAAAGATTAAAACCCCCCCACATGATCATCTCAGTAGACGTAGAAAAAACATTTGACAAAGTCCAACATTGACCTATAAATGATAAAATCTCTCGACAAACGAATAGAAGACAGCCCCTGCAGCTTTTGTAAAGAACATCTGTTAAAAGCCTGAAGCTAAAATAATAATGGTGAGATGTGAGTGCTTTTCCTCTAAGAATGGGAATAAGGTAGGTAAGAATGTCTGCTTTAACCACTGCTTTTCAACATTCACTGGAGGTTCTAGCTGGTGCAAAAGAGCGGGGAAAGGCATCTGAATTGAAAAGTATTAAAACTCTTTATTGATAGGTGACATAATCCTATATGTAATCCTAAGTAATTCACAAAAAAAACAAAAACAAATAGAACTAAATAAGTGTAGCAAGATCACAGGATACCAGGTCAGTATGCAAAAGATAATTGTATTTTTATATTGTAGCAACAATTCAAAAATGAAAGAAAACAATTTCATTCATAATTGCATAAAAAGAATAAAATAGGAATAAATTCAATAAAAGAAATACAAGATTTGTATACCAAAAACTATAAAATATTTTTGAGAAGTTTAAAAAGACCTGAATAAATGGAGGAACATTCCATGTTCATGGATTAAAAGTCTAAATATAAGGATGACAATTCTTCCCAAATTAATGTATTGATTCAATGCAATCTCTATTAAAAAAATTTCAGCATGCTTTTTCAGAGAAATTTAATCCTGTAATTTATGTGTAAATGCAGAGGACCTAAAATAGCCAATACAATTTTTCAAAAGAACAAAGTCGGTTGACTTACATCACACATAGTTTAAAAATAAAGTCACAGTTATCAAGACAATATGATACTGGTGTAAGGATAGGTACTAGAACTGGACTGAGAGTACAAAAATATATCCTTACATATGCGGTCAATTGATTTTTGACCAAAAATGCCAAAACAATTCAGTGGGGAAAAAGATAGTTTTTATTTCCAATAAAAAATTAGATATCTGCATGGATAAAAAAGGACTCAGACCCTTAATTTACACTAGTGACAAAAATTAGCTCAAAGTTGGTCATATACCTAAATCTAAAACCACAAAATGTCCCCAGAAATATCTTCGTGGCTTTAGGTTAGGCTGCAACTTCCTAGACATGATACCAGTGGCACAAGCCATAAAAGAAAATTTTGATTAATTGGCTTCATTAAAATGTAAAATTTTTGTACTTCAAAAGATATAACTAAGAAAATAAAGAGACAAGCTACAGATCAAGAGAAAATATTTGCATATCTGATACCTAATAAAGGAGTATACAAAATATATGAAGAACTCATACGACTCAAGAGGCAACCCAGTTTTTAAAGTGGACAAAAAGTATTGTACGATTTCACTTCCAAGATACCTAGAATAGGCAAATTTATAGAGACAGTGGACTAGAGGTTGCTAGGTGAATTGGGGGAATGTATAGTTACTGTTTAATGGGTACAGAGTTTTGTTTAGAATTATGAAAAAGTTCTGGAAATGAATAGTGGTGATGGTGGTACAACATTGTGATTTAATGTCACTGAATTGTACACTTAAAAATGGTTAATAAAAATGAAATTAGAAACAGGATGAAGACTTGAACAGACATTTCATCACATGAAAAGGTGCTGAGCATTGTTAGTCATTAGGGAAATGCAAACTAAAATCACAGTGAATTTTCACTGCACACCGTTTGGAATGACTGTTGTCAAAAAGACTATAAAAATGTTCTAGTAAGTGTTGGTGAGGCTGTATAGAAACTGGAAACCTCGTTAATTGCTATGAGAATGTAAAACAGTACTATCACTTTGGAAATCAGTTTGGCAATTTAATAAAAAGTTAACATAAATTTACCATATATGGAGCAATTCCACTCCTAGTTATCTATCCCAAGAGAAATAAAAAACCTATGTCTACACAAAGACTTGTATGTGAATGTTCATAGCAGCATTTGTAATAACCTAAACCTTGGAACAATCCACATGTCCACCAACTGGTGAATGGATAAACAAAATGTGAAATATTTGTATAATGGAATGCTACTCACCAATAAAAAGGAATGAACTACTGATACATGCTACAACATGAATGAACTTCAAAAACATACTAAGTGAAAGATACCAAATTAAAAAAGACCATATATTGTATGATTCTATTTATATGAAATGTTCAGAAAAGGCAAATTTACAGAGACAGCAGATCAACAGTTATCTGGGTGTAAGGGTGGGAGTAGAGACTGATTGGAAACAGGCTCAAGGAGAGTGTTTGGGGTGATGAAAATGTTGTGGAATTGATTATGGCGATAGCTGCACAACTCATATGAATAAAAGTCATTGAGTTGTCCACTTACAGTGGATTAATTTTATGGTATATAAATTACACCTAAATGAAGCTGTAAAAAACCTAAGATTTGGAAGGAGATAAAGACAGACTTTTGGGTAAAATGGTGTAAGTTCATCAGTCAAGTGATGCCCTATTGATGATTTGTGATGTCTCTCATTAAATTTTGCCTTGGAAGCCTATGCCCTCCTTGTTCTCAAAGCTCTACCCTGACCCCTGCCCCACTAAAGAATCTATTGGAAAGAACTTTTTCCAAAGGAGAAACAACTTTCTCTTGTTTGGGAAGACTGACTCAACTGTTTGGAGTGTGGCTCTGGTGGACTATCTAAGCTGATGACACTTAGATATAGAAAAATGTCTTCTTTTGGCCTCAAGTTATAGACGAACTCCAGCTAGACATCTTGCAAACATGTGCAGCTGGTTGTTAAGTAGGTGAGAGTTTGGGGAATGAGTGAATCTTGTCTACTGAAAGTGGAGAACCCATGGAGTGGTCCCGTCAGAGACCAGGATGCCTTGGGTTGTACTGCTGCGTGCAGTTTGCTGCACACTTTTCACTGTTTCCTTGCTGAGGGGACCTCACAACAATCCCCTGAGATAGGAGAGAGATTTTTGGTCCCCCTTTCACAAAGAAGTAAGACTTATAGGGTGACTCATTTGTCCAAGAGCACACAACCATCGCAGAGCTGGACTTAGATCCAGGTTTTCTGATTCCATATATCAAACCATTTCTTCTATACTCTACTGTTTTGCCTCAGCTGTTTACTGGAAAGAGGAGAGAAAGGGGCATGTGATTTTGATTGATTACATGTGTTTTCAGTAGATTTAGTTAGTAGAAAAGATAGGAAGGGAAGTTGGGCTACACTGTAAGTTGAGGGGTTCTATAGCAAGATTAATCAAGGTAGATTTGTCCCAATGTTTGGTAGCTATTAAAATTATACCTTGGGTGGAACTATATTCATGGCACAGATGGCTTGAAGGTCCTGTGTACTTGGCTCAAGGAGCAGACCACTTCCGAAGTTATAAACATAATTGTGCCAGAAATCATAAGGAAATTCACTTGACAAACCTTTATTGAGTGTCTACTCCATGCCATGCCCCTTGTCAAGATACAGGATTAAAGATCCAGTTGGATCCTGTTGACCTGAGAGCACAGGAGTAGGCTGAACTTTCCGTCATTTTCATTCTCTGAGGCTGATGTGTCTTCCCTCCAACATGACCACTTCCGCCCGGACCCGGAGCCCACTGCTTTCTACTGTCCCTGCAGCTCTGCTTCCTGCAGGTCCTCTTTCTTGACAAATATAGTTCATTATTTCTTCCTTTTCCAATGTGGATTCTTCCATCTGCTTTTCAGCCAAACATAGGTAAATCTTGTATCTAAAAGAAATCTTTACTTTTAAAAAAAAGATATTAAAATTTTTTTCTTAATTGTTGAAATAGTTCATGGTTATTGCTAAAGACTTGGAAGACATAGATGAGTTATAAATAATAAACATAAAAATCACCTTTAATTCTACAACTTAGAGATTCTAACTATTAACATTTTTGCTTCCAGTCTATTTGAAGTTCTAATCTGCTTTTTACTTCCTATCAGCCAGTGTGCGCACGCACACACATACACAGATTTTAGCATCTTATTTAGTACCAGGCTCTGCGTGAAATATTTTACATGTATTCTTACTCTTTAAGTAGCCCTGTGAAGCAAATAGCAAATACTGTTATCATATCTCCTATTAACAGATGATAGATCTAAAGAGTAAGTGACTTGTCCAGATTCACATAGTTGGCCCAAGTGCTTCACCACTACCTTTCCAGAAATCTATTTTCATCCACGATTATCATTCCAAAAAGTTCTTTTTTTCAAAGACTATCAGTAATTTTTAAAAATTTTCTGCCTCTCTCTTTGGCTTTGTCTCATGACCTCTTCTCTATCTTCTATGTGCTTTAGCGACAGCTTCAATTTTGTGAAAGCGCTATGCCCCTTTGGCCTGTACACATGCCATCCAGTTCCTCTGCTAGGAATGCTCACCCCTCTTGTCTCATCCAGGTAATTGCATTTACCATTCAAGTCTATTAAAATGTCATTTTCTTGAAGTCACTTCCCAGACCTTTCTCACACCCAAGACTGGATTGATCCCTTCCAATATTTGCTCCCATAGTACTTTGTTTTTCTCTTTTGCAGAACTTTTCACACTTGGAATTATTTTTTTCATTAGAATTTGATCTGCCATTTGTGCCACAAATGGCTATACTTTTGTTTTCTCCATATTTCCTGGCATATGGCGCAGTTGAGGTGCATGGTAGGAGTCCAATAACTATTTGTTACTTATCTTTTTCATTCACTCTCAGCTCCATGCTTATAAATCACAAATGTGCATTCTCTATTTAAAAAAAAATGAACTCCTGTTTCTTCCAGTTTGAAATAGCTCGTTTCTTAGTGCATTTCAGGCTCCTAATCTAGTAAAGAGAGTTTGGCTCCATTCTTGACTCCTTGCTATCTATTCTGTTCGAGCCAGTTCCTTGGAAGGTAGATCTGGTCTATTGAGCAAGAAAGATGGCCACAATATTTTAAGTGGAAAAAGGTTACAGAACATTATGTATAACTTGTGATATTTTCTCTAAGTATAAATACATATGTTTTAAATATCTGTGAAATATCAGATAGTATATACACTGAACAGAATGATGGGAGGAGCCCACTAATGTACTTTAGTTTTCTCTCTTTTGTATGAATTTTTCAGGGACAACATACTAAAAATCCTATTTCGAAGAAGAGAAAACAACCAAAAATAAGGCTGAATGCCTTTTTGAGATAGCTTTTCCATTCTCTCCACTCCTGCTGCCTCAGCTCATTTGTATAACACGTTTCTGTTTCTCTCCTTCTCTCTTTCACATCTCTCTTTCATCCTCCCACTTCATCTGCTTGATAAATCTTCCCAAAGTCCTGCTTTCATTATGTCCTTTGGGAACTCAGCACTTAAAGTGGCCCCATGTTGTACTAATTCTAAAAATTATCTGCCTGGCTCACAAGGCCTTCCGTAATTTGTCCTTTTACCTTTCCAGTGCTGTTCGTAAGGACCCCCTGACATGACCTCTGAACAGTTCTGCTCTTGCCCACTCTACTTGCCACATATATTCTCTGTTGCTGATATTTACTTACAGTCTCATCTGCAGAACACACCCTTAAACTCACATAAGTTGTCTGTCTTCCTGTAGCACTTATTTTTAGCCATGAAACCGCATAGGATTTTGGTGGCTGAAATGAAAAAATTTTTTCATTGGCGTATTTAAAGACTGTTGATTGTGTAAATAAATGACATGCTTGTTCAGGTATAAGTTTTTCAAAAGAATATGTCAGACATTATTTTCTAATGTTTTCAGAAAATTTGGAAATAGTTGGTGGTTGAAAATAAATGGCTAGAATGCATGGCATCATGAAAACAGCTCTATCTGAATTACCTTCTTTGTGTCCAGTATAAAAGAAAGAAAACCTTTTGATTTCAGTAAATACTTCTTGGGTGGAACAGTTGTTCGTTCATTAAGTCCTTTAGGGGAGGCTTTAGTTTTTGAGAGCGCATAGACTCAAATGCACCAGTCTCTAACATCAGACACAGTTTGATACCGATTTGGCTGCTACAGCATGGTGCAAAGTTTGTCTTTGATTTCTCTTTTTAGTTCTTGTCTCACTACACCTGTGCTTTTCCTTCCTTCCTACCCCTGAGAAAAAATTCTGGAAGGCTAAGGACAAGACTCTACTGCCTCTTCTGACTTTTCCTATGAGAATCAGTTTCTCTCTATCTCAGACGAAGTGTGTACTAAATTATTCATGACCAAGGTCCTTGTTTTCCTGTCATTATCATAAAAGATTTAGTGGCTCACCTCAGCTTATGTTATAGGATTCAGAGAATTGATACATTTTAAATTTTGTTAAGAAAAATGTGTGCATCTGCTATCTCACTTGGGTTTTTTTCTTATTTGAGGGACATGATTTGGAAAGGCCAGAATTAATGGGCCTAACAATTAGTCAAAAGAGAATAGTTAAGTACATTTGAACAATAATAAACAAGACATTCATACTAAGACGCACTATATAATCATTTAAAAGAATGAATATGATGTAATGAGCTTGCCGTGGAAGGCTATCTATAATGTACAGCTGAATGAAAAAGCTGTACATGTATAAAATGAGCTTGCTTTTGTTTAAGCCACTCTCCCCCCAAAACACAAAAAAGTTCTCCAATGATATAAAATAATATTTAGTTTGTATTTATTATTTAAATAATAAATAGATAATATAATAAATAAGCTTATATTATTTATAACAAGTTATTAAACTTACTGTTTAGCATAATTATAGGTGATTTCTATTGAGGAAGTGGATTGCAGATGATGAGGAAAAAGATTTTCAACTTTTACTTAAGTATTTCTATATTTGCATATTAAGTAATGAGCATGTGATTCTTTCTAATTTAAAAAATTTTGAAAGCATGGATTTTTCAGTATGGTGTGATGTCAAGGTGTATAGTTTATTCTTTCTATAAAATATCATTTCTTTAACTCTAGAACATCTTTAAAAAAGAAAAAGAAAAAACAAAAATACCAGGCGTTTAGAAAGCTTATTTCCTATTAGAACCAAAGAGAGCAAGAGAAGTTCTAGCCAGTACGTTGGAGCCAGCAGCAGCTCCCACCCGTGACAGTAGCTCATGCACTCGGGTGCCTTTGCTTCCCTTGGGATTTTTGGTCCGCAGTTTGCATTCATTGATCAGTGAGTTGATTCAGACTCAAACCCACCGACAGCAATGAATGTTGAGTGCAGCCATCAGTGTTTCCATTTGGTGGAGTCGCCTTGGCCTTCCCCAGCTCCTGGCTCTTCTTTTCCACACTGGTTCTTGGAGGTCTATGTCTGGCATCTCTCTTAGTAACTAACAGTTGCAGGCCTACAGTAATTATTGATAACATGGACACTAGTGCTGAGAGGTTCTTAAAGATGGAAAAACTATGGTTCGGAGAAGAGAAGGGGCTCCTGGAGAAAGAAGCCAGCAGGTAGCCCCGTGACCGCACAGGCAGTGCTTACGTCCTGGTCGACGTAAACAAGTGTTGCAGACCCTGGTTCTTCCTCTCTGTTTTGAACCAAGAAGTTACCAGTGCCTTTCAAGGTAAATTAACACAGGTTATGTTTTGGGTTAAATAATAATAATATTGACCATTTGGAATAGTTAGTACCAAGCACCTTCTATATCACCTCGTTGACTCTCAGAACTCCATGAAGGTAGGTATTCTTATTATCCCCCATTTTATATATGAGAAAACTGAGACTTGGACACTCACCCTGAGTCACACAGCTAGTTAAGGAGTTGAGCCAAGGCACACCCCAGATCTGTCTGACTCTAGACCTGCCTTTTTACTTGAATTTAACAACATTTAAATAGGCACAAGTGTGGATGGAGATAGTGAGGGCAGTAGTTACTTTCAAACAGCTCCTATTCTAATGGGGCTGTCAAGACTTAACCACATTAACTGTAATTGGAGGCAGAATCTGATAAGAGCTGTGTAGACATTGAAAAATTCTGTGCTATTTTTGCTTATTAAATCCTCCCATTGCTCCTAATTAAAAGTTTTGAGGGTATGTGGGAGAAATGGTTGTAAAACTTAATTGGATTTTACTCTAAACCAAAATACATATATTTAATAAATCTTTCCTTGCTACATCCTGTTTCTCAAAAAGAGTGGCATATTTCTAGGAGACATTTAAGTACATTAAGTATTACCATGGAACGTTCCTCATCTTGCTGAAACAAGACACTTGTTTGTCAAAAGCACAGCATAAAAGGAACAATGGGAAATAGAGGAGAATTTTTAAAAAAATTCACTGCACCACCTTTGGGGGACAGGCGGCAGGACTGGTTCTGGTGATCTCTTGTGACATGTGAAGACACAGCCCGCTCCTTTGCTTCAGGGAATGTAGTGTTGTCTGTAAGGACCCCAAGGTACAGTCAACGGTCGGTGGTTTTTTCAAATCCCAAACTCACCGACAGCGTTGAATGTTCCTTGGAGTCCTCCGGATCCTGGCCCTGGCAGTCCTTCTTCAGCCTGTGTCCACGTTCCTGGAGCCAATGAGCAGTGAGACCACTGCTGATGGAGGCTCTCACATTCTTTTCCAGGTTTTAAGTTGAGAGTATTTAGATTATGAAATCGGTTTGTGTACAGCATAGAGCCTAATGGACTTCAGGATGCGAGACTGCAGTATTTATACAAGCAGACTCAAATGGACATTTGAGAAAATGGCTCCGAATGGTATTTTGTAATTCTGAAAATGCCGATATCCCTTTTATAGTAATATATGATAATTGTTAAAGAGTAAGAGTTAGAAAGAACTTAATATAATTATCTACTGTGTGCTGAGATTTGTATATTTTCACCTCATTAAATTCTCAATAACTCACTTTTACCTCATGAGAAAACTGAGTCTTAGAGAGGTAAAGTGATTTGCCCAAAGGTACATAGCGAGGAGCCAGGGTTACAAGCCAGAATTTAATACTTAAATATTGGACTTTATGATTGCAAATGTCACTGATCATACCGCCTCCTCCCTTGTGCACCACAAAACTTATTATCGACTATCTGGGGATAAAACTGACAGTGAAAGCTAAGTCAAACAAGTAAATATCTTCTTCTTGTTTGCTTGTAATAATAGTTGGTGGGTCTGTAGGTGAAATGTTTCATAAAGGAAGATGAAAAAAATTAACTTTCATAATTGGATCTTGGATCACAAAGTTATCACAGAGGTTCAGTGGTGGTCTACAAGTTATTTTCCATATTGAAAAAGCAAAGAATAAACAAAAAATCCCATCTTCTAATAGAAAGCCTACCCTTCTCATCAGTAGGATCATAGAGAGTAACTAAAATGTCAGGTATCTTTTCCTTTGGCAGAAAGGGTATCAGTGCATTGTAGACATACTGGTTATTTTGTATTGGCTGTTGAATGTCCTTAATGAAAATCTGGAAAATGAATTAAATGAAACTCTTCAGAATGTAGAGTTTATAATGGAAGGATCCAGGAGCACACAGTAGCAAAAGGACTTACAGAACTGCTGGCCGAATTGAGGTTAATCTTTAATCAGGGGTAGTTATTACCATTTGCTTTAGGTTTAAATATTAAAGGTTGACTGTTCTCAAATTCATTTTTAAAGCAGCCAAATGGTACACATGAAAGAAAGTCAACCAGTGAGAATTTTATTTGAATGTAAACTGTTTACATTCTACATCAGTTTATTTCACTCCTTGTCAAAACACTCCAGTTAGCCAGCTTTATTGAGTTCTCAGTGATATAACAGTAAATTGTATACAAATGACAACAACAACAAAATAGCAACTGTTACTCTGTAGTATTTAAAAACTAATGGGTTTATTTTAAATGGTCTTCCCCTTGGCCTGATTATATGAAGAGATGCCTTATACTAGTTGGATAAATAAACATTCACACTTAAAATACTGATTTCTGTTACGTCAAACCATTAGATGTTTATGAAATACTTCTGCTGTGTTATTCTAAGAAAAATGTTTTTCATAGACTTGAAAAACTAGAGAAAAGTGAAAGAAAGGTAGATTTCTAGAATGACTTAGGGGTATTTCCCATTGTGTTTGAGATAATAGATTTTCATGCACTAAAGCCTTCAGCATCCTTGTTTCTTTAATTTGCTTTAAGTTTTTAATTTTAGTTTTTATCATCAAGCAAGATGAAAGGCACATATTATATCTTTTAAGTGAGTTTGGCTAAGGGTTTATGTACTCAATGCGAAGATAAAGTCTGAGGGCTGAAAGGTAAGGGTTAAATTAGACAAGAGTTATAGAAGCTATTTAATTCTCGGTTTAGGCTGGTTTTGAGTTTGTCAGAACTCATCATGTCATTATTGATCATTTCACTTACCTCCTTTCCTTCTGTAGAGGTGCTATGAAATATTGAAAGCCACATTGCTCCAATTTGGAGATGTAAATGTTTTCATAGTCTTCTTGAGGCCTCTTGATATATATACTTGAAAGAAAAAAAAAAGCATAAACTCAACTAAATAATGTATTTTAGGGATTAGTAAGCTTAGAAGAGGAGCCACTATCTCAGGTGGCTGTCTCCCCAGATACTTCCCAGGCACTCTGCAGGGTGCATCTCTGGAAGTGTTGGGGAAAATGCTGCTAGCCTTGAGGACAAATTCTTGAGTTGTAAAGATGACATCAGCATGTCAGCATGTATCCATGTTCCTCTTACCCACACTGCTAGTGTTCTGCTTTACCCCTTTAATAATTCATTAGCAGAATCCTAGGAACTCTTTCTCCTACATATAGCCCTTGCCACCACTGTCTACCCAGGGAACTAGACATAGACATAGCTGATGACAAAGGTTGATGGCTATATTGGCAGAATGATATGAACTTCTCAGAGAAAAGAATGTTAATTCTGCCTGGAAGAGCCAGGAAAGGTTTCTCTGAGTGGTCACATCTGATCTGGGCCTTGAAGGTTTAGTTTAATTTTTACTAGATGGAGAAGGAAAGATATTCCAATAGAGGGAAAACTCTGCACAGGAACTCCTGGAGGCAGAAAAGTTCAGGTAATGGTGAATATTGAGATTAACTTCTCGCAGCGTCAGTAAGGATGTAGGACAAATAGCACTTGCCCTTCCTGTGCATACTTGTGAAAAGCTGTTGAGGTTATTATACATGTGAAAGTAGCATGCAAATATAATTGCTAGGTCTATTTTTTCTCATTGCTCTTGCTTTATATGTGCTAAACTAGATTAAATAAAGTACCTTATCGTGATAGACATTTCTAAATTATATTATTTGGCTCTTCTTTTTCTTTAAAGTGATCATAATTTAAATGTTTACATATTAAGTATTTGGAGAAGCAACATTTTAGCATAGCAAAGAGCACAGGCTTTGGAGCCAGAATCTTTTTTTTTTGAGCCAGAATCTTGACTTTGCAACTTACTAGCTATGTGACCTTGGGCAAATTACTTAACCTCTCTGTTTCTGTTTTTCCTTATCTCTAAAATGGAGATATTGATAGTATCTACTTCATAGGAATGTTGTGAGGACTAAATGGGGTGATATATGTCAAGTATGTAAAACAGCACCTGACTCATGTTAAAAGCTTTATGTTATTTCAAAATGACTTAAATTGTTAAAATCATTTACAACTATTATTTACACGTTACTAAATAAAATTGCATGTTTTTTCCAGAATTCCGTTTTTAGTCCACATACACTAATGTAAAAACCTTCTTTTATAGTTAAAACAACCTCTGACTAGCTATTACATTATGTACATTTTAAAGATTTTTTTAAATTAATGCTCTACCATTTTCTTTGTGACCTTAGGTAAAGTTTTTATCTCCCATTAGCTTCTATATCCTCAATCTGTAAAAATGAGAATATTGATTGTGAGGATTAAGTTAATAATATGATTAAAAACTCTCTGGAAAGCTGTGGATTCTCTCCCTAAATACATGTACATAAACAAAATTTTGAAAGCAGTTTCAGTTATGGACTCCCAAGAACCCATCTGTAGACTCCCTATGAAATTAAGATCAAGAAATTCTGACTAAAGCTGTAGACCAAGATTTCACAGTCTAGTCTTGTCACTGGTGGTTGTCCCTGGAAGTCTTGATCTCCACTTTATTAGGAGTGGCTTCTTGCCAGCAGTAGTGCAAACTGTCGCCATCATCTAGTCATACCTTTCTCTGTAGCATAACCTGTTTTGAAACTAGACTGTGATAACTGGACAATGATGGGACCTGGAAAAGTAGTTGTTTAGAGTTCACCAAGTTTGTACCAATAGTAGATACCAACCATTAATTATTAACTCTGGTTATACAATTAAATTTCTAAAAGAAGTTGCTAGATGAGAAGTTACACAATATTTGAATTTAACTATGTTATTTTTCAACAGTTCCCCACTTTCCCCCACTTCCCCAGCCACCATTTAGTTTGGAGCTGATCCCAAAACTATGACTACTAATTCTGGCTTTAAGTTAGGCTGAAAGAATGTGTTGTTTCAAGGCAATGCTTAGAAAGGAGCCTGCTGAATTCAGAGTGTTTACTTGAATATTAGCAAGAAAAAAAAGTGCGCCAAATATTGCGGTTGTATATGGAATTTTTGGTCATTCTTATATTTAGCTTGCCTGAGGGTTTTACCAGAGAGTTGAGAAGTATGCATAGAAATTTAAACTCAATAGCTTGGAACGTTTTGCTATTTGACATGGCAACTTTATATCAAGTTACTTTAGATGATATTTTAGATGAGTATGGAAGACAAGAGGAGGCCAACTCGATGAGATAAATTGGCTTAGTACCAAGGGCAATAACTATTTCTCTTCAAATGGGACTATGTTTTAAAACCTATCAAAATATTCTGTCACATGCATTCTCCATCCCTAGTTACAGTGACTTCATGTGTTCGAGATATTACTATGTTAGATTATTTTGCAAACTCACAGGAAGCACTACTTCATTTTTCTATGCAAAATTAATTCACAGGATATCTGTAATCAGTGAACAACTCTTCTGAGTAACTACCAAGGATTGTTCAGCCGAGCTGGATAAGTGAGTACATAAGTGAATTAAGAACTTGAAATCACAAAGGAAATAGGAACCAAAATCATGCAATAGCTAATATTCACGGGAATTTAGGAATGCACTAGAGAGAATCTTGGGTTTTATTACAATGTGCAAAAAGTGTTGGCAGAGATTTTTAAAGTCTTTTACAGCCAACAGGCATATGTTTTGCTGCAAGCAGTTAATGAAATAAACAAGAACAGTGACCAAAGGACTCAAATCTTTTCCGTTTTTACAGTAATAAAACTTTGATGATATATCAATAATATAAGACTGTATTTCTTCCTCTAATCTAATTTAGTTTATTGGATTAAATTTACCAATGGCACTTTACACTTTAAAAACTTGATTTCTGTTTTTATAAAGTTTATTATTGCATCAGGTAGATTATAGCTTTGTGTTAAGGCATCGAAAGTTATAGGTAATTAGACATATACATAACCAACTTTTTAGTTATTCATAACAGGTAGGGAAAATGCTCTTTAAATGTTGCTTTTCTTGGCTATTTTCAGCACATAATTGAATCTTTGTAAAATACGATGTTTTAAAAGTTTTATTTTTGAACGTATATTCTCTAGAAAGTTATGCTTAGATTTACCTCATAAATGAAATAGTACCGAACAAGGTTGGGCAACCTATTAATACTTCATATATCGCTTTTAGACTTACGTCTTCATTGCTACACTGATATTGGACAGTATTGATGTTTGGGTAAGAATGCTGATCATGGACAGGGGAAAGAATTCTGGACTGAAAGAATAGAAAACAAATCCAGTTTATAGTTTTATAACTTTCAAAGTTGTTAGGAATCTTAGAGGTCATTTAGTCTGATGATCAGGATTAAAAGTAGTGGTGTTGGGAAATGAAGATGGCTAATAATGCATATTTCTAGATATCGCCCTAGACTTAGTAAATCAGATCCTCTAGGAATGGGTTCTACAGTTTTCAAAAGCCTCCAGGGGATTCTGAGGGGACCATTTCATGGACATTTGGAACCTCTAATTTAGGCAAAGATCTTTCTTTAATAGATGAGGAAGCAGATTTAGAAGGAAAATTAAAATCCAAATCACAATGGGTCAGAATTGAAATCCTTGACTCTGTGCGTACGTGAGTATGTGCATGTGTTTACTTATGCTGCGGTACCTCTTTATCATGAGAAGGAATGCCTTTGCAGAAGTTGCCTTAATGTCCTGTCGGCTATCTGCAAAGTCCTTCAAGTCAGTCTATCTGCCTGGTAGGTCAAACATCTTAGCCTTAGGGATACACCCAGAACTAGTGCAACCGGACCATTGACTTGAATTTGATATGCTGAAGCATTTGACTAAGTAAGCAATGCTGAATGCTGTTGGGTTAAAAACTGTCCACGGTATGAAATGAGAAATAGCTGTAAGTGATCAAAACTCTGAAGGCCCTCCAGGCTCTGACATTTATCAGCTGCTGCTTCACTTTAACACTTTTCTCTAATCAAAGGTGACTACCACTGGTTGGAAGAGGCTTGCAGAACCTCTGGCTGTTCTCTGGGGAGGAATTTATTTTAATTGCCAGTGAGAAGGTAGGAATGATTTCAGTAAAGATCAAGAACCTCCAAATCCACTTAAGCTTGGGCTCCTGGCCAAGTGTCCATCCTCAGGAAAGAGTTGGTGTCAGCTGCTGCCTTGGGACTTGAGGTATTTCAAAAAAGCCAAAGGCATTACGGAAGCCTTTCCTGAGTTGGCAGGCAGGAGTGGCACCAGGAATCAAGGCCTGACACATGTCATCAGCCTGGGAAAAGTGGAGTTTGGACACTAATGATGGCTCTTGTCAAAGCTCACTGTGATAAAGCCAGAAGGATTCAGCGTAGGGGTTAGTTTGCATAGGAGAGGAGTTGTAGCTTAAAGAACACCTGCCAAGAGTTTTCACTGCCCCAGCTGTATGTCAGTGACAAATCTTTCACCCTTGACTCCTGTCACTTCTTTTTAATGGGTGATAGTAGAGATGCTGGATTGATAAGGGAGAGAGGCAGCTTGGCTATATCTAGCACATTGCCTTATTTGCTTGTTTTCTTGCCATTCTCTGTGTAGAACTAAATTTGTGTGACCATACTCCAGGCTAGTTTTTTTGTTCTGTCTGTATCTGAAGGTGTACTGGAGGACCAGAGTCACTGGTCCTCTATTTCCATAAATGCCACTGCTGGTGACCACACAAATGTTTTGATTGGCAGTTATGAGAAAGCATTTTTACTGCTATCTCTCTGTTAGAAGTGTTATTTCAAATCTCGGCTCTGCCTTTTAGTAGCTGTGTGACTTTTGGCAAGTGGTTTATTCTCCATTTCTCGTCTGCAAAATGGACGTTAGTAATTGTAAATATACCACAGGGTTGTGAATTAAATGAA